AAGGACTTGTATGCATGCATATAAGCATAACCAATGGACATAAGACACTGGGGGGTAGGGGGGGGCTAGAGGATTGTCAAGGGCGGGGAAGAAAAGAAAAGGACACATATGTAATACCCTTTGTAATACTTTAAGCAATAAAAAAAAAGAGTAGAGGAGTGAAAAAACAGACAAGATGACTGTTCTCGTGAGCTGCCTTTAACACGGAGAGATGGCTGACACACAAGCAGACAAGCCAGATGAGTTCAGATAGTGACAAGTAAAACAAGGCAATGCTATGATGACAGTGACTGGGGATGGGGCACAGAAGTGTCTGGGGAGATGATGTTTGAGCTGAGAACTTAGCCATAATCCTTCACAGGTAGGGAGAGTTAGGAGGGGGCAGGGAGAGTTGGGGGAGCGGGGGGTGGGACAATGAGTTAGAAAGCAAAGGGTGGTAGCAGGTGAGATCTGTATTGTTAGAGTGATGGGAAGCCATTGGAGGGTTTTAAGAAGAGAGACACAATTTAAGTTTAGTACGTTTTGGATGCTTCTGGCTACTCTGGAGCTTGGGTTATGAAGAGATGAAACTGGAAGCAGTACACTAAATTTAGATGGCTTAGAAAGGAGGCTACAGGGTGAGGCAAAAGTAGGTTTACAGTCATTTGTATGGAAATATATTACAATAATGAATAAATGATAATACAAGAATAAATTCCATGTATTGTGTTCTCACGGCTGTAAACCTACCCTTTCCCAGTCCTGTATATGAATACAATGTATGTGACAGAATATAAGGTCCCCCATTTTCCTAATGAGATTAAAAATCTTCCGTTTATTCGCTCACTCAAGTAAGCCTCTAGAGATATGGAAGAAATAGTCAACATCCCGTGAGTTATTTGTTACTTTAGTTGAACGTATTTATACTCTATTATTAATTTAAAAACATTGACTTTGTTCATCATAGTTAATTAAAAAAAAACGTTATTCCATCTTTGCCAGAGCAAATCATCTTCATTTCTGATCAGTTTGTTTGACATACAGCAATTCTGAATCCATTGTCTGGTGCCTGTTTTCAAGATAAGTCCTGTGAGGACATGAATTCAGTGACTGTAAAAAGAGACCCACACAAAATACAGATGTTAAAAGTAAACGAAGCTCATTTGTCTCCTGTGAAACAGCACCTAGGTATTTGGGTAACCCAGGCTGGTAGGCAGCTGTGTCGTTGCCTGTCATCGACTAGGCAGAAAGAAGCGGGGAAAGGACCCCTCACCTAGGATGCCGAAGTGGCATGTGTCATTTTTAATTATATCCCAGGACATCTTATTCACCTATTATTATGGAAGAAGGGGGGCATGGAGATGGACATTGGAGGACAAGACGCAGGTTGTCACAGCATCCATGAATAGCTTGGAGACAGTGGGTTTTGCTGTTTCCTCTGTATCTGAGTATCCTTGGTACTCAGCCATTCAGTTCCTGAGTTCAGTTAGCAAGGGATATGAGTTTTTGTGATCTCCACAACTTCGCCATTGACTGTATTGCTATTTGAGTAATCTTTAAAAGGCTGGAGGAGTCGTACCACAGGAATAATTAAAAATCTGTTTTTCAGTTTCTTGCCCCCCTTCATATTAAACAATCCTGGCAGTTGACCTCCGAAGGCAGCCCAGGTTAGCCCTGATGGAGGTCAGTTCAGATTGATGAGTCTTTTCCAAATGGAGACTTTTTGTTCAAAGAAGGTAATTATAGAGAGACCTCTATAATAAGAGGCTTTGGAAAGACACGAACACAAAGGGATTTCTTTTCTGGGAGGTAGTTGTGGGCGGAGGGTACCTCACCTTATATTTAGACATGGAATAGGGTGAACCAGGTCACCTGCAGAGCAGCGGGGCAAGAGGAGTTCACGGGTGGGAGGGTTTCTTTTGTAACGAAAGAAACATTTTTTTTATAATATGGACGAATCATGAATACTTAGCCTTCTCAGGTTGCTGTGAGAATCAAAATCTGTTTGGTATATAGCAGACTATATTCATCACGTCCTGCATGTTTTACAAAACTCAGTGTCAGCGTTTGGCAGGAAGCTGGGTTTGTAGAGACCATATTTGCCCAGTATACAGTATGTGCTCAACAAATGATCACTGCCATTACTGTTATAAAAATGAGAAGATGAGGCACGTTTCCAAATAGCACATCTTGAAGGCATTTGAATGTCCACTTACCATCTTGTCTGCATCAGCCCTGTTTTGTCAGGGATGCCTCCTTACGATTTATTCTGATAAAACGGAGGACTTTGGAGGAAGCTTAATAAATGTGTTTAGTCTAAGCAACCTATTTGGAAGGGATATGCCGACAGTTATTGCAGAGTGCCCTCGATCCTGTTTTCTCCCTTTGGCACAGTGTGCCCCTCCTGCTCCTCTCTCCAGGGCAGCACTGTGAAGTGCCTTGCATATTTAAATAGCTGGAATTCATGGAGTACACCAAGCCTTTGCCTCAAAGCCTCGCCAGCCTGCCGTTAAATTTAGGAATGTGTGGGGTTTGGATGTAATTTCTCCCTTGCCCACTGGGATATAATCATGGTACAACGACTCAAAGTGTCGTGCTCCAACATTGTCAAAGGCTTAGCCTTGACTTGTGCAGGCATTCACTTCTCTTTGACAATCTGGTATTTCTTTAAATGCTTTGTGTCCATTCATGAGGCGATGGTTTCATTTGAAATGCTGCAGTCACCAGGGAGAAGCTCCCGTGCTCTTCCCTGATTGGCTGGCATTCCCTCTGCCTCCTGTTGCTATGGTGCCCAGCAGAGTAACTTCCTTGCCCTGCACATGTAGGAGGCTCGGTCTCCATGGATACCCT